AAAAGTGGATACACCACCACAATTTTTTCATGCCTTTAACATCTCAGAAAGGTATTTTCAATGTTTACCCCTTCCTTATTTGGTTACCTCCCTCTAAAACCACATAATTACCACAACTATGAACTTACTAATGTAATGAAACTGCATTCTTCATATTTCTAACTGGCTCCCTCAATAAGGATACTGGCATTTTATCAATGTCCAGGTGACAGTTGATGTAGTACATACAACATGACCAAGCTTCTTTCTGTCACCTCAAGGGACTTCTACATGGAAGAAACAAGCTAATGGCCATTAATAAAGAGAAGCACTATCAAAGTGCATCACAGACTGTGAGATATGGACCTGGGTTTACTGCTGGGTGGCTTGTTTGGCTCTTTCAGTGGTGGTATTTTTATTTACTGCTGGGTTTTATCCAGAATGTGACAGATGATGCCACATCTTTGCATGTTCTTGTGTGCCTGGAGCAAAAGGAGTTGGTCAAATGCTGTCCCCAAAGACAATGCATTCACATCACATCAGGTCAACCCGCAGCAGATGTCTGAGGGCAAAATAGAAACAGTCCCTATCTTTCTACAGCCTTTACTTTTGCAGCTCTGTCTCAAGTGTATCCCTGCTTCCCATCAGGCTAAAATACATGGAATGAACTGCTCCGCCAAGGGATTGAGCAGAAAGCATTCACATTCTCAAACTGTCTTGTCAGAACCTGGCAAATTTCAAGAGTAAGCTGTGTTTGGCAGCCTTAAATTTCATAAAACTGCAGTCCAAATCATTAGCTTCATCATATGGACCAGCTACATAGTGGCGTCTGAAAATTCAGAATAAAGCCTTTAAGCCAACTAGCACAGACACTTTTATCTCTGAAGGTTAGGCAGGAAGAAATATTCACACATGCTCCATGACATTCATTTTTACATACCCTAGCCCTCGTCTACACAGGAAATGTACAAGACAGAAAATTAAACGCCCAAACCAAACAGAATTAGTCTCTTGCCCATCTCTGCTGAAACCTGCCAGGCCCTCAGTCATCTGCCTTCTACAGCCTTCACTTCTTTTTCATAAACACCATCCCTTCCACAACCCTATGCTGATATTTTGCAGAGATGCGGAAATAACTTCTGTCCAAAAATACAGAATCAAACATGGAATGGAACAGGACCAGCTCTAAACCCAGGAAGTCTGCAATTGAGCTAGGTCTGAAATTCCCTGTGCGACCAAACATCATCCCTACCCCAACTCGAATCGCAGTCTAGACTGTAGACTGACTATGGACGCAGCCACTCAAAAATGTGGATAAACATACTTGAGCAATTAGTGTCAGGCTTCAATCCATCGCTCAAGCTCCAGCAGCATTACACAACCAACCTGGCCCTGCAGCCTGCATTTTCACACTAATCCTAACCCCTAAATCCTTACCCATAGAAAATTCACACAAAGACACCCAAAATTTCAGCATTTCTCTTTCAAAACATTCACTCCCTGCATACAGCTTACCACAAAGGGCATGTCAGTATTCAAAATTAAACACAGCTTTACAGCACCTATTTTGTGGATTGTTTAGCCATGCTTGCTGTTGACATCTGCCAAACCCACAGAGGATGAGGATTATTGATAGATTTAAATTCCCTAATCTGAATTTTTGGACAGCCAAGTCCTTAAATCTGCTTTCTTGGATAGCTTTTGGATTTGTCTGAAAAAGGGGGTTTGTGCTTGATACAAATACTAGCAGAAATCAAACCCCAAAGAACCAGCATTCTCAACACTCCCATATCTTTCCTTTGTTAAGTTTCAAGAAACCTCCAGTTTGGAGGTTTCAGAATGGCAAATCTGGATTTCTTTACTCTTCTTATAGGAGGAACTGTAGTATGACCCAAGAAATCATCCTTAGAGGAATAAGGCCCAAGAAATATTTTCTGCCCTCCCCATTATGAAACAAAACAAAAACTTTAAAAATCTGTAGCAAACTAATGTTTTTGCAGTGGAAGCAGAGTAGTCCATAATCTGTTCCAATAACTTTTAAGTGGAACACCTCAGGAGACGACAGGTAAACTAGAATATCATTAGTTTATTCTTTCAGTGATCTTGAGGGGTAAATGTAACATTAAAGGAAACAAAAACAAACTCTAACAAAAACACCCTTGAGTAAACCGGTATCTTGCTACTTTATCTTAATGGTATTAAGCTTCATGTTGTAAATATTTAGCATGTATATAAAAAACTCCTACTACACCTTCTATGCTTTTCGATATGTTCTGTCTCCACAGTAGAAGGACACATTAGGTCGAAGAACACACACTAGTGATAAACCTCTCTGCTTCCCGAGTAGAAACATGATTAAAGTAGGCCTTTTTACCTTCAGCATATCAAATAGCTTACAAATTTAAAACGCACAGGTTCACAGGTAAAGAAGTATTTCAAATACATTTTTGCAAAAAACCATTTTTTTTTAGAGATCATCTTAGTTCTGACCTTGAAGAACAGACATGAAAATCAAAATCTGACTTAAGAATTAGGTTCAAAAAGGAACTGCGTACTTTTAGTCAGTGGTTTTAAGTAATTTACAATTAGATGGATATAGTTAATGCCATGAGCTACACCCTGGGTAATATTTTGAATTTATTTAGCCATTGTGTTTACAAATGAACCTCACACTCCAATTTCCACTATATACTTTATGCTATAAATCTTAAGACATTATTGAATTGTCCTTGAGTTACTGTATTGTACATGGTTAACATTTCATTCACTTATCGATTGGTTTAATAGAATTAATTTTAAACAATATATTTTCCCTGAAGTGGTTACTTAGATTCTCAACAATAATTGCTTTTTGTAAGCATTTTCTCAAGTTCTTTAATAATTTTTGCAATATTCAATTATTGATTACATAACTCAACACAAAAACACTTGGCAGGCATCCTCCAAATTGACCTTACTACACGATATTTATTTAAGCAATTACAAGATCAGCTAAACTTTGTCCAGTGTTCATTACAGAATTATTTTACTAAATCTAAAGATTGTGACATAACATCACCTTTTGTTCCAACTAGAGCTGTATAGAAAATAGATTTTCTTTTGCCTTGAAAGAATATCTTTGTTACTGATTCAACTGAGAATCAGTCGGCAGTTTCTGATTATAAAATTAACCTGTCTGGAAACACAGGGCAGTACTGGAAATACAGCTGATCCAGGATTTTGTAATAGATTGGTTTTCTACCATTCATCCTCTGAATTACAGTACTGCCACGCATTCCCTATACCAGTAACTGCACCACTTACCTCTAGAAATCTAAACCAGTCAAGTTTCTTTTTCAAACGTCTTAAGATTAAAATATGGTATAATACAAGCCACGAATGTTTCTGGCATACTACCTGAAACCCATTTTGACTGTTCTGAAATAATTTATTTCTGTGATGCAGAACCAAGCTGCTTGGCTAGCACTCTCGTCACAGGTCTTAATTCATGGGAAGAACAGTCCAGTCCTGTGTGAATTTACTGATGAATTTGATCCTTTTGAGTCACAAGTCAAACCTTTTGCACCTTTTCCAGCAGAATCAATATCAGCCTGACTACACAATAATTATCTGTATTATTTTAAAGCTTTTGAGTTTGTATGAATCAGGAGAGCTATGCTGTAATTTGGTATGCAACGTAAGTGAAAAAAGAGCCTTGGTTTTCATTTTTCTTCTGCAAAACTGCATCTCCTGTACTCAACTAATTTTATTCTAAGATGTTGAACTCCTACAAAAAGTAAAATTACACACATGAAACAGCCTTGTTTCTGCAACATCATCCCACAAACACGATTACTCAGTTGGCCTTTGTGCTAGCACAAGTTTCTGTCTCCCACCTCACCCTACATGTTTTTCCTTAATCAACCATAAAAGAAACAGTTAGTGAAAACAAGAGTCCTGCCCAAAGGTGCCAGCAGTACCATACCAGTGTGCAGCTTTCTAAAGGTACACCAAGGACCAGCTCCAGAGGGAGATCTGGCACCGATTATCTGTATTCAGCCACCTGACCGCTTGCAATGTATTTTCATAAACATGTTCCTATGTTTAACGCAAACAATACAACCCAGCTTAGTAAGTCCTTGAAGCAATTATCAGCTTTGTTTTTTCTTTTCATAGGGGTATTTGGATTTGCACATACTTTGATGTAGTACTTCTGAAATAAAACTTACACCACCGTCCCAGAAATAATTACTCTTGTGTGAATTATTACCATCTTCTACACAGTTTAAACACACTCCCTGGATTTTCAAGAAAGATGTAGGGAAGTGAGTATGGATTGCAAGTTTTCTACTGATTTTTCTCATTTGAGTCTCTAGTTTAAACATCATATACAGTTTCCAGCCAAGATCTATAAATCTCTTAAAACAAACTGTCAGAGTAAGATTTATGAAAACTCCCTCTTCCCTGGTGTTCTCTAACCCAATTAAAAATTCCACATTGACTGTTTTGGTTTTTTTTTTCAGAATACCACCAGTCTAAAATACTGTCATAAACAAACAGCAGTGAGCCACAGATCGTTCGTTAGGAATCAGTAGAGAATATTTATCTAAGTGAACCAAGATGAAATGGAATATAATTCCTTGTTTAATTTTGACAGGAAAAAAATGTATCATTTCTGTTTTGCTTCTTAAAGGATATAAAGCTTGTTTAAAAGTATCCACAAAATGCCTCAGGGCAGAACTGACACTGCCAGAGTTTCTCTTATGCTCAGGATGTATGTCACAACAAATTATATTTAGTTTAACCATCATAAATATTTATTTACCTATGGTGTAAAGACGCAAGTTGGGCTTCATAAATTTTTGTTTAATTTGCCAGACATGCTAAGACATCTCTGTTTGGCTTACCCTTCAAGTGGTTTTTTGTCAGGAATGACACACTTGATTCAAATTACATGTATTCTGCTTACACATTCATGAACTACTCTATTAAGCTTTAATAACAGCTCTCACATTAAATGATCACTATTATAAAGGTCTTACCTCAAAAATTTCAAAGCCATAGATGTCCAGCACTCCCATCACCTTCTTTCTCACTTTTGTTTGTGCCTTTAAAAAAAAATAAACACTGAGTCACTCATCTGTACATTTCATACTTGGGAATCAGGAAAACTAACATTTCTCATAAGTAGGCTGTCAAATTCTGTAAACTAAAATGTTAAGTATGGTTTCCCAAAATACACTTAACACGACTAATTTCATAAGCTTAAAAATGGAGCAGACAGCAATTTGTTGAGCTCTGATACAGTTATTCATTTGTACCATGTGTAACACTGTACAACCATGAAAAAATTAAATTGGTAAATACAGTTTTACTGTCCACTTTAATTTAAAGGATTTCTATTGATTTTTTTTACAGGCACAAAACAACAATACCTTAATGCTCTCATTGATTCTGGTAACAAGCCAAGAAAACAGTCGACTGTATAAATTCTTTGCCAGAGCATCACGGGCATAATAAGCCTAAAAAGAAGAAGGAAGAAAAATGTTACAAATGCTGGGCTAACTTTTATGTTACTTCCATATCTTAAAGGTGCCATGAACAGAGTGAGAATGGCTCAGGCAGCACTCTGCCTAAACAGACACCAGAGCCAGACCAGGGGTGCCAGGACACTTTGGCAGCACCAGTGGTTTGCTGGTGCAACCCTCTGCCTTCCTGACCACAGGCTGGCTGGAACAGCAGCCACAATCAGGGCACTTGAACTCCCTTCCTGCTCATCCGGATATCCTCTAAAGACTCAGATCCCCCATCCTAATCCTAAACAAAGGGACTTGAGCAGCTGCAGTTAGGGAAAGGACATTCCTG